AAAGCTACAACTCTTGTTGCATAGGTCCTGCTTTACCTTGGTCTTAACCATCCAGCAGAAAAGTATAAAAACAAAGTAGAAGAAGTAAAGCCATGCTGTTATGTTGAGCTGTAGGGGACTCAGGTCAACAACTTCTGACATTGTCAGTCAAGTGGAAGACCCAATACTATTATGGACTACTGGACTCTTTTAGAATATTTTGCTGAATTCCCACACCTGTAATATTTAAATAATGGAACTAAAGAAAAAAAGGGGATATAGATGAATGACCATTTTATATCTGTGTATTCAAAATGGTTAGGATGGATATATAGCTACATTCTCTTAATTCAAGGAATAGAGGGATCTGTTCTAATAGTGTTTGTAAATAGGATATCAAGTCTGCATCTTGTACAACAAACAACCACTAGGAAGGCAGTATGCAATGTGTTAATTATTGGAACTGTCCTACCAATTTGATTTGAAACTGTCTCAATGCTATTTATTTCTCAATAAAGTTATGGAAAAAAATAGATTGATAAAAATAAATTTGTACAATATAAGAATGTAAATATAAAATACATAATTGATGTACAAAACACATTATGAAAAATAAAAATCATGTAATTAAAAAAAAGATAAAGTATCAAAACAAATGGGCATAGTGGTGCACACTTGTAATCCCAGCACTCAGGAGGATGAAGCAGGAGCATTGCCATGAGTCTAAGGCCTGCCTGGGCTATACTGCAAGGCCCTGTCTCAAACACAAACACTCAAAAAGCGAATGGAGAACAGATAGAAGGCATGGTGCCGATCTCGCATCCTCAGCTGGCTTCAACTACACCCGGGCTCCTTGAGGCCGGGCAACTCCTTCCTGGGTATGGTTGTGACCCCACTGTGGTCCCGTAGCCATGTCCAGCCTCCCACATTGCAGCCATGCAGGAGGGGTGGCAGGATGCTGCTCTAAATAGTATGGCCACAAAAGGAAGAGCTGCAGAGGGTGACAGCTCTTATGTCCAGGGGGTCGCTGGGGAGGACAGCTACAGATGTAGAGCCAGAGCAAAGGCCTGGGGGCAGGAGGGGCTGCTGGGCTTCCACAAGTGGGAAAGTTCTGTGCAGCCTGTTCAGAGTGCAGTGCAGGGAGAGGGGGAGAGCCATTGGGAGAAGATGCGGGCCTCATCATGGTGACCTCTGGGGCCACTGTAAGGGTCCTAGTGCTTTGCGACTGCCAGGGATGAGCCTGGGATCCTGGCCTGCTAGACAAGGGCCCAGCATGGAGCTCCACCCCCAAGCCCGGGGCTGCGCCTGTGATAGAGGATGGAGCCCATGGGAAATCTAGGGACAGAGGAGCATTGTGATCTGGCAGAAGTGCACAACCCCCCACCCCCCGCCAGAACAGTGTGTGCATGGACTGTCCAGATGGAGATGATGACCCTGGCCCCTGGACCGCTCCTGTAGACCATGACAGCGTGTGAGTTTCACAGCATGTCCACACAGCCTCATAACCCAAGCTAGCAAAGGAACACAACTACCCCAAAGAGGCCTGGGCATGGCTGGGGCAGAGCGCCGGGCCAGTGCATGAGGAGCCCGGTGCTAGCCCATGATCACACCCACACGCAAGCAGAGGTGCACACATGCACAGAGCACAGCCGCAGAGAAACATGTGCCGTGCGGGATTAGGCTTCACACTCAGACGAAACAGAAGGAAGTCGGGATGTCACCTGGGGAGTTGGGTGGCCTGGAAAGAAGCAGCTGGACAGAGGACAGAGATGAGGGAGAGGGTTTCCAAATTCCAGGGCATTGTCCTGCCAGAGCACAGACACTAAGTCCACGGGGAGCAGGACGGCCCGTCTTCACCTCCTGAAATGGCCAGCATCGACGAGAAGGACACTGGTAGAGGGAGGAGAGCTGCACGGACAGACAGAAAACAGCGTATGTTCAGTATAGATCAGGAAAGAAAGGGAGAGGGAGGAAGCGGGGAGAGAACGTGTGCTCAGAAGCAGCCTCACCATGGTCAACAGCACTGCCTCTGCAGCCAGGGACCTCCTCCATTGTCCCCACCGTCCCAGCCACATGTCCCTCCAGGCCACAGCTGCACAGTCCTGCAAGCTCTAAGAGGCCACGGTGCACCTACCCCATGAGAACCAGGCCTAGGAAAAGCCTGCCTCCTGCTGAACCCATACAGTAGCACACACACAGCTGGGGTGCATGGGACAAACTTTCTGCCACCAGGCTCGGGGGCCAAGTACCTGTGTGGCTGGAAGGAGAGGAGAGTGGAGGGGAAGGGAGGAGAGGAGATGAGGAGAGAGGAGGGAAGGAAAGTGGAGGAGAGGAGAGGGGAGGGGAGGAGAGGAAAGGAGGTGGCCCAAGATGGCCCTACCTGGGCCACAGTACCTGCTGGGGGAGCAGCGATGGCACTCAGGAGCCGGGTCCCAGCAACTAGGCGGCTGGATGTGCAGGGCAGAGAGGGAACTGCAGGTCAGCATGCCTGGCTGGGTCCTTGCAGCCCACCCATGTGTGCAGAGCACAAAGTGTCCCAAGGAGAAGGGGGCTGGCAGGTAATGGCAGCCCACCTGGCCACCAGGTACCTCGTTCCCCAGGGTGGGGCAGCACCCTCAGGAGGGTCTCACCTCAGGGCTGCAGGCAGTACACCCACACCATGGTGCTCTGGTGCCCACGTTCACCATGGTGAGACTCCACAGGCTCCATCTACCAAAGAGCCGCTGGGCTGATGGATTCATCTGGTACTTGGAATGAAGCAGGACTCACATGGAGCCCCAGCCTCAACCCACTTTTAATTCTGAGAAGGGGTTTCACTCAGTTGCTAAGTTACACAGGCTTGACTTGAACTTGAAGTCCTCCTGCTTCAGCCTCCCAGTGTCAGAAGGACAGGCTTATAGCACCGGGCCTGGCTCCTGGCCTGATCAAGGTTGCAGGACACAGTTTATCTTACAGAGAGCAGATTTCTTCTCCAAGTATCACAACCAGTTGTCCCAGGGCTATGGGTGGGCCACAACCCCCACCCCAGCATCTCTGCCTTGGTGATCCTTGTCATGCAGTCTGGGGGGGGGTGACCCAAAAGTACTTACTGGGCTAAGGAGTTGAACGTCAGCTTGCAGTGGTTGGCTCATTTTCTGGAAAGCCTTTTTTTTTAAAATCATCTGTTAACAAAATTTTTGGGCCAATGAGATAGCTCAGTGGACTAAGCACCTAGTTAGGCAGGCAGAGGGACTGGGGTTTGACCCCTGCCACCACATGCCATGCTGGCCCACCCCAAGGCATGCTAAGCGGGCCACTGAGACCGTGTGTGGTGGCACGTACCTCAGCAGGCTGAAGTAGGAGGATTTTGGCAAGTATGAGGCCAGCACCACAGTGAAATAGAAAGGCACCCACACACAGCGTGGCAGGTCAGTTTTATTTTCTGCAGAATTCATATTTAAGCACCAAACAAAATGAGGAGATTCTTAGTTCAGAACATTGAGTCCCACAGACTCTTGGCCTCCCACACTCCAGACGCAACTGCTTGGGGACATGCTATCTAGGAGGGACAGAAGCTTCCACTTGGGTCCCTAGGCCACATCAGGCTCAGCGGGACACTGGGGGCCCGAAACGCTGCATGGTCTGCACCACAAGGGACAACTGCTCCAGCAAGCTGAGGACGGAAACCCGGAGGAGGCGCATGTCCTGGACCTTCCAGCGGCTGAAAGCGAGGGACGAGAAGGCCAAGTTGGAAGTAGGAAGCCCTTACCCTTCCTCTCCGCCCAGCCCTAGGGTACCTGGCACTGGCCACGCCAGAAGAGACCACGTCGGGACCTCATCTGCATCTGTGTCCAGTGTGACACCTCACCCCCACGCCAACGAGGTCCGCGCTCTATGCCAAGCTGCACCCGCAGCCCTTTCCTTTTCCCTTTCAATTTTAGGGAGAGGCTGGCTGAAATGCTGCAGCCGCCCTTGAACTCGCGATCCTCCCGCCACAGCCTTGCGAATCGCCAGGATTACAGGCCATGCAGCTCTCCGTCACACTTACACGTCCAGGGTGCTGCCACGTGTTGCCAGCTCCTTCCCAATCGCTCCCTGGTGCGGTTCAGCATCTGGAGCCAGGGAGCCCAGGGCGATTCCTGCGTGCAAAGGCGTCGGGAACGGCACGCTGAGGATGCTGGTGGGTGCAGTAAAGGCTTCTCCACTGTATTCCAGGCCTCCACTGCTCTCTGCGGCTGTTTCCCCCTTTCCAGGCCAGCCTGACTCGCTGATCCTTCTAGGGGTACCCACAGCCCCCGGGCGACCGC